GGGAAATAAATATGTTTGAAATTAATAATACATCTCATATTACTTGCCTTTATAACGTTTTTAAGCATCAACGTGATAATCTATACAATATCTGATATTATTTCCTCAATTCTTCTCTTATTAAATTATATTTTATGTCTAAATTTATTCATGTTTTACTCGCCCATATTCCGTGTCAGCAGGTTCATTCATGTTGTTAAATGTAACAACATTTCGTAAAGCACACACTCTAACTAAAACGGAAGGTATCGTTCCGTTATTAGTTTGTCACTTATTTGAATTAATAGAACGGTACACAAATCAACGGATAGCTAAAACATATAATTACGCCACATGAAATTAGTTCATTTAAGCCTTATCAAGGAAAGTTAAATTTAGTAATGTTGTTAATGTTCAGTTGCCTTGATTAAACAAAATGTTAATCAGTTTACAAGAACTCATTTTGGAAAGAAAATATAACATTTATATCACAGAAACTAGAATGATCTATTAGACGAAATCAAGGAAATCGATAGCCATGGCCGTTTAAAACAGTTATAATATTTTCTAAGACAATCATCCAGCTTAATAATTTATACTCTCTAAGATTCATTCAAGTCAAAAGTAGAGATAATATGAATGATTGCTTCCAGCGGTTAAATTGCGTTTTGTTTTATTTGCAGAAAATTATCATTTAATACAATTATACCATTTAATGATATACTATGCTCAAATCTGATTTTTAAAAATATTAATAAATGCTACACAGTCTCTTTGCATGTATAAAATAAACATGCTTCAACTTCATTTAAAGAAGATATGTTATGTTTTGAACTCTACACACTATAGGTGGTCACAATATAAATATATAGTGTCATTAAAAAAAACTGGCAGGTTTTTTTAAGAAAAGACCAACTTTACTTGACTCATAATAGAGAATGCAGCTTCTCTTACATAGTTTATTCATTATTTTATTCAAATTAAACATATTCATAAGAATTTCATGGATTTCAATACATTTCTAAGATAAAAAAATTTGTTTCCCAAAGATGAGCATAGTATATCTTTAATGTAATAATTTCGAATTAAGTTTTCTTTGTCATTATGGGCGTTTTAGCCTAGGAAATGGAATACATAAACTCTCAAAAACTTCATAATATAAGTTCATGAAATTTTCTGTAAAACATGAATAGGCAGGATATTATTAAAAGAAGTGCTTTAATCAGTAATACAATTTCGAATGCAAGAAAGTTTTCAAAATAAACTTATTAATAATAAAGAAAACTAAGAAAAAATATCGTTCTTAAGTGTCCAGGAGAATGGATACTTTTGTTCAACAACCATTGCAAATATGCAACAAATTGGTAATTTGGTAGAAAATAGCAATGATAAAAATCAACACGGGTGGAACTTAAACAGATTTAATCAATCTAACGGTTTTAGTGATATATTCAACTTTTTCAGGAAATGAAAAACACATTTTTAACATTAAATTGAACTTTGCACTTAATGTCTTTTCTGAGTTTCTCAAATTGCAAAGCGCGGCATGATCACACCATTTCAATGATTAATACCTTTCTGAGCGCTTGCATGCTGTGTGCATGCACGTCAAGGGAAATACATTGCATGTAAAGAACAGGAAGCCTTTTTTGCATTCATTTGTTGTTTTGTGCGTGGCTTTTATTCGCTTTCACCAAAACACACTGTATTTAATAAAAGGTACCGCATATGTTTAATACCATGCAAGGTTTAAACATCTGTGTACGTTTGTATTTTGCTTTCATTTAACTACAATGGATATTCTCATACGGCATTGTTTTAATTTCCATTGTTTATAGATTTGTTTAAGAACGGTGCGATTAATCATAATTATAACAAATATAAAACGAACTCGATCATTGTTTACATCATAGATAAGTCAACATTATAAAACATTAAAATTATATAATTGACTTATATAATTTTACTAATGCAAATATGTCATATTATTAAACATTTGAATGTTGTTAACTTTTTATCTTAATATTGAAACAAGTGACTGGAAGCGGAAAAAAACCAGTGCCGATCGATTTAGACTCGAAATGATGTTAGGGATCTTTATATTGTAGCAATACATACATATTTTAACATTTGTATCATTTTATCTGATATTAAGGACCTTGCTATTGGTTATTTAATGAATGCTCTTATGATTTTTAAAGGGTTTATTTTGTTTATGTTATAAAGCATACATTTTATTTTCGAGTATCTAGTAATCAGAGTCGTTTATCGAGCGCACTTGAAAATGAAACTACTCGCATAAGTTCACACTTGTCTGTATCTCCCTATCTAAATGGTATATATACTGAAATGTATTGATTTTGTTTGTTCTATTTCATTAATTAAAACGCTTACACAAACTATTGTCAGAGCAAGTAGATTAAGCTAGTTTGAATTAAGTTTTTATATAATTATAGCACTGCAGTAAAATTCAATATGGGTAGTAAATAAGTTAAGCTACAAGGAAATTTGTGAATTTAAACCAATCTAAATCATATTGAGTAAACCAATTGAACCCAGACCGGAAATTGCAATGCGCTGCAATTGCCACCGTTTTCTAAAAAAAAAGACACTACTGGGTACAATGTCTATTAATTGATGGATATATTATGAAATAAGCTACCCTTTTCCAGATTTTTATACTTCACAACAGTAGGTGCTAAATGCTGTCATCTAACAGCTGTAAAACGTTTTCCAGTACTTCACTTCAGTGTTGGTGTATTTTTTTAGGTTATCCGGGATCGATAATTGATTAGCAAATCATATGACAAAAACCGCCAGAGACTGAGCTGTATGACATTTTAACATGATATGCAACAAGAACAGTTTCATACTGAAATCATCTATAAGGCACAATGATCTGTGCACCCATTGTGACCGAGGAGTTGCCTTGAATGGTTGAAGCATTAGAACTGTAGTTGCTTTGTATCCCTGCTTGGCCCGTAACAAGTTCGAATAAATGGCGTATATGCATCTCTTAGCTCCAACAGGTGGTTTTGATCCCTGGTTTTGCTTTCTTGCTTAGTGTGCCGTAAAACCAACCAACAATCAATGATCTTTACAGACCTTGCAATGAAACATGTCCTATGATTTTTATTAGGATTTGTAACCAAAGATTCTGCACTGACATTTTAAGGCGTGCAAACTCCATAAGAAAGGTTGTCAAGCGAAATGTTTTCATTATCATTATGATAAACTCGAACAATTTTGTTACATATACCCGTATTACATAAAAACTTAGTCAATTCCACGGAACAAAGAAGAAGGATATAATGAGCTAAATGTGCCTAAGTCATAATTAGATCAAAACAAACTATATTATGTGACATATAAATGTATATTCAACGTAAATATGAAGTATTCAGTCCTAAACATAACTCGTTTTTGCTGAACTTGCACTATATGATACTGTACAAACTTAGTGTTTATTGATATTTTGTCTGTAATTTATGGTTCCTTTTTGCATAAACATAGAAACACTTTCACTAATAATTGTGATAATGAAATTCTGTGATTTAATTCATCTGTTTTATTAATAACAAAATACGAACGCAAATCAAACAATAAACGTTGCATCGTTATATTTTATAACTTTTTTGTGGTTGAAAATTGCAATTATAATACCACGGACGCATGGGTGACACCCGAGCCTCTTGATTTTTTTCTTTAAAAAAAAAAACATAAAGAGTAAACTATTTACTAAACCTGACTAAGATAAATTTAGGTCACTGAGTCATTGTAACTGTAAAGAACGACAATTTACCGACATAATGTGTTAGAGTCTATACTCGAGATCATGCAGACGCTTAAGTTGATTATTTTGGTCAGTTTAGATCGCATGATCTTAAAGGTTATATAAAGTGATGGCATATTTTGGTCTAATACGGTAGTTGTTAAGGTATATAAACGGAAAATAAATGAAAAACACCCACATCCTATCATTTCTTGTATTTAATCCTCGATTAATTTTACCTGTTCGGCGGTTTACATTTTTATGCACCGAAAATCGTGAGCGCTCGACGATTTCCGCCTGTGACGTCACAGGAGGTACTCCGCCATATTTATTGGCATTGTTTACAACGTACATTCACACACTACCTTTCATTTTAACAGTTTTAAGACATATTATTAAGTAATGCCTGCCATTTGCTGTGCAGGAGGTTGCACTAACAGGCGTGGGAATGATATAAGTCTGCACAATTTCCCAAGGGACGAGAAAATCAGGGCAAAATGGGTTTTTGCACTGCGACATACTGGTACGCCATATTCCAGAGACAGTTCGTGGACTCCACATTCAGGAAGAAATTCTCAGTTGGTTTGTAGCGCCCACTTCGAGAAATCGTGTTTTACACAACAAACTCGGACTATGATGAGTCTAGGGATCTCTTGTCGGCCACAGTTGGAGGATTCGGCTGAACCAACGATATTCGCATCATCATTTGGTGGAACAGGTCAAACTGATAAAAGACGAGATGCCTATAGGAAAAGAGAGGTTCTAGCTTTCCCTTAAAATGTTGTTGCTTAATAACCGAACAACAGGCTTAAAAGTAATGCCAATTTTATAAGAAAATCTATATTAAAGGGATTCCACTGAGGTTTTTGGACATAATTGGACTGAAAATATTTTTTCCAGATTAATGTATCATTTGATGTAAGTTTAGACCACTAATCTTTGTGCAAAATTTCAGATCATTCGCACACTTCGTTTTACCAGAATTAATTATTCAATTGGTAAAATAATGTTCCAAAATGAAAATCGGGCCAAGGAAAGCATAAAAATAAGATTTTAAATTTATTTCAAAATATATTTCTAAACTGTCTTTGCATATGTTCCTCTTTAAAGTGCCCAAACTGATTTATGTAAGACTTTAAAATGTTATCTCTATAGACTTTAAACTTCAGTGGAGTCCCTTTAAAATAACCTAAATTTGAAATAAAATCTAAGAATGTGATTTTCATTTGGAGGAGAATGCTACCATTTGGAGGAGAATGCTACCATAAGGGAGACATTTAAACATTTAGGGAGGAGATCATAATCTATCAATTATTTTATACAGCCTTTGATATTAATGCTATTTATAGAGAAAATAAAAATCTTTTGTTTATTAAAAATAGAAGAGAACCAATAAATGTTGAATTTCATACTGATTACCTTTATATATATTAGAAATTTGATAGTCCAAACATTAATTGGATAAATGCTAAAGGATAAAATGTGGTAAGAAAATGATGTTTATGCTGCAGTTGTGACAACAACAAGGAATAAGAAACAACTTCTTCAAAATAACCTTTTATATAATAAAAAAGACACACACAATTTTTCAGTTAACAAATGACTATATAATCATGTCCCTATCCAGCAAAGTGGAACCCTTCATAATCCTCGGATGGGTATGTAGTTCTTATTTTTATCACAGCACATGATGGCAAGACCACTCGAACTTCCTTCCCAAGGTAGCCCCAACACCATCTGGCCAGCTGCCGATACGCAGTATATCTGTGTCTCCTGAAACGTGAACAGACAAAATTTCAAGTTATGAGAAATTTACATGAAATGAATAAATTGAGCTGAGCAGTCAATTTATTTTTACTTCTCATGTTTAAAAAAATTAGAATCATTTGTCATTGAAAAACTAATTAAAAGGGTTATTTTCATTAATTATTACCACTGACCAAGTTGAATGATTTCACAATAGATAAGCACACAGTAAAAATTGTACAAACCTATTAATGTCTTCCTCGTCCCTTTCCCCATACTGCTGACGATACTGGAGATAGGCTGTCTCCAGTACATACCTATCAAGGCAGACTGTACTGAACCCCGGATGAGCAGTAATACAACTCAGGCCCTGTCCAGTTTCTGTCTTGTGCTCGTCCATCTTGTCAGATACTCTGGTGACTCTACAACAACACCGGCACTCTACTGCTGTTGCCATCATTTGACAGTTGTGACATGTACACCTGGAAAATAAAAATTATTGCTTCAGACAAAATTAATTACTAAAAATAATGTGAATTCGAAAACAGTGTCTTTCTAATACTATTGGTCATTGCTGAAAAAAATATATCAGCTATTGCTCCGACCTGTCCGAAATTATCCCATCCGAAATACCATCGACTCTTTACCGCTGAAAATGTATTTAACAAAGAAATATCAAGTAAACTTTAATTTATGCAGGTGCATAGTACATTAAACAATCGCTAAACTATAAATGCCTGACATGTTAAAACCATATTAAAATGTTTACCATTCGCCAACATCCTGTAGCTGTGTCGATTCTACATCGTCATTTTCTTCCCCGGAGTTCGACTCGTTAGAACTGACAAGTGCTGTCCTGAGCGGTTCAAATTGGTAAGGGTTAATACCTTCCCCATAGTTCTCTCCTTCTGGTGAGCTTTCATCGTCCAAGCTAGTATTGTTTGATGAAAACTCGTCAAAACTTTCGCTGCTTGAACTATACGCCATTGTAACTGATAGTGTGAAAATAAACATGTACCTCCTGTGACGTCACAGCCGTAAAGGCGATTCGTTGCATTCCGTAACTTTGCGTATTTTAAATCGGCATTTTCCGTACAGGTGCGCTCAGTGCTTTATGGATTGCTTGATTACGACTTACAGGAGTGACCCCGGTTCATAAAAACGTTCAGAATAATTTCTTTAAGAAATACTCTTTCATAAAATGTCTACTTTTATGTAGGGTTTTTATATCCTTTAAGTAAATTAGTATAAGAAAAGAGTCACTTATTACATCTACTGGTAAATTAGAAACAGCCCCTTGATTATGACGATGATGTTGTACTTGTATATTCACATAGTGCTCCTGTTAAAATTCATCGGATACATGTATTGCAATGCGTTACGAAAGTTTTTTTTAAAGATTAAAACACACCAAGTGCCGTTTCATTTTTAAACAATAGTCACGTAATGATCATTTCGAGACCAGTTCACATTAAACAGATTATTTTATATTAAGGTATTTTGTTTTTAAAGAGAATCCAGTTACGTTCTTGTTAACACGATAGGACTGAAAAAAAATTTCCGACATTAAGGCTACTTGACTGAAAAATTTCAGAGCATTTACTCACTCCTATTTTTCTCTCCAGAAATAAATATTCTAATTGTGATTTTTTACTATCCGTGTTTATTATTCATTAAGTATGCGCTATAAGGTTACCATTTTTAAAAGAACGTTAGCTTCTAATTATATATTCTGTCTTTTTCGAAACCCGCTTTTTGTAATTTTAACGCATAACATATCATCTGACAGTGACTGCCATCAATAATTATCTTATATCGTTTTACTAATAATAATATATATATATATATATATATATATATATATATATATATATATATATATATATATATATATATATATATATATATATATATATATATATATATATATATATATATATATATATATATATATATATATATATATATATATATATATATATATATATATATATATATATGATATACAATCATGTGATAAGAGAGATTTAATTAAGACCCAATTTTCTTATAAGATATATAATTCTTAGGTTGCTTATTATGAGGAAATTGTGTAATATTCTCACAAAAGCTGTCAATGTTATTTCATTGGCTATCAATACAAAATGCTTTACTTATATACGCATTACTTATAAAATTAACCATAATAAAAAAACTTTATTATCTAGGTATCAAAGATATTTCATAGATATTGTATAACGTGTGAAAAGTATATAATATGCCATTGTTCATAATTTGAAAGTTTTGAATTATGTTTAAGAAATTATTGGCTTTTGTATATAAAATCTTAAATGATGAGTAACTAACGTGCCGATACCGTAAATTTGCAGGAAATATTTTTACACGAACTTAACAATATAAAACTATACTTGGTTTATAAGAAAATTAATTCTTTTTTTCTTGAATGCTTTATTACACACCTTTAATACAGGTAGTATCAGTGTTCATGACTAAAACGTGTTACAGGTATGCATACCTTTCCATAAAATATATTCCAACTAACTACTTGGGTACTTGATTTGGTTTTCTACCACTTAATTTGATAAACTTTTGAATATAAATATTTTGAATATAAATAAACTTTATACTTTGATTTTCAAAAACAAATGTATCACCAACAGAACATATGTGTTCATCTGTATGTGTTTCCTCTTCCGTATGGACATATATTTCAATATATTAATGACTTGTTATGTTCGGGAAACGTTCGATCCTATAATAGATGATGTCTGTCTCTTGAATTTGTGGCAGAAGAGCTTTCATAGGTCATTAATTGTCATTCATCGATAATTTCTATAGCATGTCAACCTGCAATAATATACAGTCTATAGAATAATGAAATACAAGGTTATTCTCAGACATTAAACAAAATCACATTCACAACCGAATGAGGATACGCGTGTTGACTCTAAATGCAGATACGGTTAGAACATTAAATACATTTTTTTTTAAATTTTCACACTGTTTCTACCAAAGGAACTAGGGATCAGGTTCGAGAGACTCATTTTTTGAGCGATTCGAGGTAGAACAATAAATATCATATGCGAATTTTGTCGGGACTGGCCGCTGAGTTTGAGCGAAGAGAGGTATTCGATCAATCAGAGTTCGAGCGAACGAAGTTTTACTGTACTTTCAGTATGGATTTAAGTAACAACCCAAAATATTATGTTTCGTTTACAAGTTGTATTCAGTTTAGTATTTGATACATAATACTTCTTTTCCAGTTCCATTTTCAATTGATGTCTGAGCATATGTCAAATGAATCTATCGTTGTAAAAGTCTTGTTATCATTAACATGCTAGCTTACTTATGTAAAGCAAAACCTATTACATTAAAATGAAAGCCTTTAACTTCATTTTATTTGTAACGATATTATCAAAATTTCCATCAAAATTGTTGTTAATAATTAACTTAGTAAGATTCAGGTTATTCGTATTTTTCATTCTATGTGAAATGAAATACCAAGAATTGATCAGAGACATGTACGATTGGATGTGTTATATATTATCACAATGTTTTATACATTTGAATAACCATTTATTAAATCTGTAAATTCTATTTAGAAGATAGATTTTTGGCGACAGAGCACGTTCAAGTAATTTTGTTAATTTTACGTGTCAGGTTTGTTTTAAAGGTCACCGATATGTGTTTTACATTAAGTTTCTTGAGAATCTAATGATATCAATGAAATAAGTTTACTTCGCTGAGCCTGTCTATGAGATAAATAAAATGTGGTACAGTTGTTTAGGCAGTAGCGGATAGCTAAGGAGATCGGCGCTGCTTATGTCTTTTAATAATAATAATAAGAAAATCAAATCAGTACCTTTCAGTAGTCAAAATACTTCCCTGTTAAAACAATTTTATTTTTCAGCTATAAAATTGACTTTACATGTTGTATTCTTTGTTTATGTTCGGCATGTAATTCAGTTAGTACCGGATAGCTTTGGGGAGTATGGGATAGGTAGGTGAAGGTCAATGAGGGGACATCTCAAAACGTTCTAAATTTAGTATTTATAAAGTACATGTCACAGGAACATGTTCTGGAGTTATTGGAATGAAAAATATTACATTTGGTGGTAATCTTTCAAACTTTTCTACATGTAAACAGATATGTATTTTATGACACATAATATCATTTTACAACAATGTTTATTCAGATCAATGATTGGCATTTTCACTTGAAACAAATCACAGAGTAATCAAATAGAATCATATCACATTAGTATAATTATCAGTTCTGGACTTTTATGTCCATGACACTTCCTTCTGACATATTGGAAAGTGTGTCAGATAACATATGAACAGTGTCACAATAGGGACTACGATGGGATACCAGGCCGACCACAATTGCTATCTAAAACAACCAACAACTCAGAACAGAAAAATATATACAAATTTATTTACAGAAATGAATATTTATAAATGAAAAAAATGATTATATATGAAAAGTCACTGCGCAAACAAACACTATCAACGTATCTCAGTCTATTTCTCCCGTAAAGTTTCTGTCATGATGTTTCAATAAAGTGGTGGCGTTGTTGAACAAAATTCGTCACAATGGCGGGCGTCTTGTATAAAATCTTATCAAGCGTAACTGTACTTCCTACAGTGTTGGCACAGTTGATAGGATCCTGAACAAGGGCATGCGTCACCCTTTAGCCATGGACATACGTGTGGAGGGCCCGTGTCATCTTCGGGTGTGTCCTCAAATAAGAAGCTACAAAGTATAAAACATGGTAAGTTCCATGATAATCAAACATAAGGGTATAATAAAGTCCCTTGGAAAAGACTCGACCTTTGTCGGTTTCTAATAAAATAACGTGCTTCTTTGAATAAACAAAATGTCCACTATAGTACACCATACATTCCGTGGAACAAAAATTCAATCACATCCGCATAATACTGCGTTGCAAATATATTCAAATATACGTCACATAATAACCACCAATAAATAAACGTTATATTTACTTATAACAAAAACTGATGATAAATGAAATGAAGTAAGATGATAACGTAAATTAAATTGATTGAAACAAATCATTACGATACTGCAGCATTTTACATAAAGTTGCACAAATACGGTAGAACCATAATAAATTATTTATGAATAGATGTTATATATATATATATATATCTATAAAATATTCACGGCTCCTATACAATTACAATACAATTAAAACTTCAATTAACATACATCAATTAACATGTCTCGGTATAAATTTGCAATAGCGAAACACTAGAATAAAAAGAGCTTTTAAAATTTAATCTGCAAAAATTTAGAAAATTTAGAAAACAATAAATTACTGCCAAATAACTAAACCTGAATCAAATAAACTATAATTCTAAATAGAAAATAGTATTTTACGAAATAGCAAAAATTTATGAAACAAAATCACTAGAAAATTAAATTTACCTTGTACAAGCTGTAATTTTATGACAAATATAATTTGTCTGTCACCGTCATAGTGACCTGTATAACGTCCAGTGCATTGCAATATGTCACTTAAAATTTAGTCATTATATAGCAAACTACTGAGTACTGAGCGGGAAAACAGATCGTGCAAAACATGAAAAATCGATTTGCACGAAATAAAGCTGGGACGGCGGGAAAAATAGTTAAGTAAAATAAAGGCCCGTCCTTCAAATACAGACATAATACATATATCTGGTTCATAAAACAAAAATGTAACTTTCTTATTACTGAAAGGATTTTTGTGAAATAAACGGCAAAATGTTTAAATTGAGACATGGAAATTTATGCAAACCATAAAAATACTCTAAATAATAATTTCACCCGAAAACTCTAAATTGAACAAAAGATGATGCAATCTCACATCAATGAATATAGAGTAAAAATGAGGTTCGGCGTGAAAATATAATGCAAGATTTTACAAACGTACTTGCACTTTGTGACAACAGTTTCATCCAAATTATTAACAATATGAGTATAAACACAAGGTATAATAACGCCGCCGCCTTTTTCATTTGAAGCTGGCCAAGGTGGAAAACTTGGAACTGGTTCACCTGTTGCAGTGGCAAAGATTTTTCCACCACTGTCAATCACATTGCGAAAGCAACTTGCTAAAATCTTTGGTACATGACCAATAGGTAGTCCTGCAATATCGGACAACAGCAAGTTTCTTTGTTTATCTGTAACCAAATTGTATAAATGTTTGTCAAATGATGTTAATTCTGGCATCCACACTAGACAGGCATCTATGTCTGAAATATTTGTGTATCCCTGTCAACAATTAATCTAGTATGTGGTTCAGTGAGAGGAGGCCTTATCTTAAAAGCATGGTATCCTTTAATGACAGAATGTTCTAAAGTTATAATAGCCTGGTTACTGTCATGGATAATGGGACTTGTTGATGGCCCTAGTTCAGTTGTTGATACCTGAAAGAACAAATAAAATAAGTAAAATGCATGTAGAAAGTTCTGTAAAAATTAACTTCAATATGATATTCTAAGGTTTTTCTGTTTTGTAAGAATAATTTATCAAATATTTTAAACAGCTATAACATGAATGATTAATTTCTCATATATTTTAAACAACTATAACATGAAAGATTATCTTCTCATATATTTTAAACAACTATAACATGAAAGATTAGTTTCTCATATATTTTAAACAGCTATAATTTTCATTTTTATTAATATTAGTTATTTCTTATATATGTATCAATAAGAATATATAACATTTTAAATAATGTACATACTTTCTGAAATTTACATAAAGGATATAAATTTAAGCACTCATACAAAGCTATCCCTGGTTTGTCACCTTAAGAATTTCTATATAGTATAAAACTACTGCTTAAAGCTTTAATATAAACATACACTCATGACAATAGTATGGTTCTTCCTGTTCTTCTGGTACCGTGATTGAGCTACAGTCAGAATGAACCCATGATTTGCACTTATCACACTCTACCCACAGCCGTCCCTGACCTAGTGATTCCTCATCATTCCAATATACTTTACAAATCATACATTGTGCACTCTCTTCATCAGTATAGTCATTTCTCACAGTCTTCTTTTTCATTTTAGTCTGTCTAGCAGATTTCTTTTTTCCTTTGCTAAAAACATCAGCACTTGTCTTGGCCTTTTTTTCATCCAACTTGCGCTGCTTTTCTTTATCTTGGATATACTTTCGTTTAGCTTTTTTCTCTCTTTCACTGAACTTTTTTATTTGACTAAGTTCTCTCAGTGACATTTTTCTCATTGACTCTGGTGATGTTAGGTTGTCAGGTAATGTATCTGTCTGTGATTATCTCTTTACTTTTGTTGTTTCATCTACGGGATACACCAAAGATTCACAGAGTGCTGTGGAAATTGAGGCTTGCTTAGAATTGCTGCTGTCACATGACCCAGTGGCTGCTAACCCATGTTCTGAAGCTGCTTCAGCCAATAGTTCTAGTGATGAAACATTATCATTTCTGTCGCTTATAGACATCAAAACAAGGTGAATTACCTTCTATATCATAACCATCCTCAAAAAGTTTGATGTACTTCTGTTTAACAGGAGTTGTGAGTGCACTGTCAAGAGCCTTGAGTGCTAAAACTGCACCATTGTCCTGAGAAGAACGTTAACTAGGATTGGGACAATCGTTTGCCATATTTTCTTCAGGTTCTGGTTGTGAACTACTGTAAGTTATTCCAGGTTTCAACATCTCCTTTGTTATCACTGTTCCATCTACTGGATAGATCCCTGAAGCTTTGAAAGCATTTATTACTGTTAAAGGTTTATAGAATAATAGAAAAGCATCTTTAAGTTTCGCTGCAAAGTTTTCTTTACCTATCAGATTTCCTGGATTTGCACGGTAATGCTGCCGTACCACTTGATGCCATCTCTGCTTGAAAGGTCCAAACACACCCTTATCAAGAGGCTGCATCAGATGAGTAGCATTTGGTACTAATCTATAAAGCTCTATTCCATTACCTTTAGCATATTCAAACACTGACATGCTGATATGGCTACTTACACTATCTACAAGTAGTATCACTGGTCTTTCCTTGACAGCATGGTTGTTAAAATGTTCAAGAAAATGTTTAAAAATTGGTGCATCCATCCAACCTTTCTTAGTGTAGGCTATTTCACTGCCTTCTACTGACGCTGTTAGTGGATTATAACCCCTGGGTTTTGGCTCGGGATATATCAGAAAAGGTGGAAGCATAACTCCATCATCTGCTGCGCAATACATCACTCTAAAGCGCTGTTTACTTCGACCAGACACATAGGGAATTTGAGAAGTTATACTGCTCTGCAGCTTTTTATAAAGATACCTTTTCCGTTTCAATTGTGAGTAATGCCCTTCGTGCCCTGAAGGTTTTTCAAGTGAAAAGTATTTCTTCTTTATACCTCTGGCTCTTTTGACACATCGACTTTCAGTTGATATTATCTTCTTACGGGGTTTACCCATTATTGGATTTCTAAAATGAAATAAAAAAAAAAATAATAATTTATGTTATAAAACTATTGGTAGTATAATCATAGCTTTTTTAAAAATAATTTACTATAGTTATGGACCAACTATTACATGTAGCACTTTTGTCATAAGTTGTTGACCAGCTATTTATTTATTTATTTATTTACTTGTAATAACTTTATTTATTTAAAAATATTTTATTTATTTATTTATTCATTTACTTGTAAATAATTTATTTTATAATTTATTTTTAATATCACATTAAAAAAGGAATGATAACTACAATCATGGAGCTAAATATATAGTTAAAAGAAGAGTTAATAATGATGGGATCTTTAAAGTATCAATATTACTGAGTTACAATTATAAAAAGATATCATATATAATATCATAACATTAAAACTGGGATATTCTCATCAAAATGTACTTTTAATCCACTTATGACAGCGATTTGACAGATAAAGTAAATTTTGAGACCACCCCCAAAATTCGCATGTAAAATCTGTTACTGACAGAAACGCTTGCTTTTCATTTTCAAAAATATTTAGTGGCAGTACGTGTTATATCTGCAAATGCTTTTCAAAAATTGTAAACAAATGATTTTGACACCAAATCATGTCAGTATGTCATTACTTTACCTGCTGTTGATCAATAGTTTTCTGTTTTTTTTTTTTTTGGAAGCGCTTAAAAACAGCGTGACGGTGACAACTTCCGGTTACCTCGTTCTGATTTGTGTAAGAAAAAATCGCTGTGCAATTTGAAATAAATAAAACGAAATTAACGATGGGTGGGGAATATATCACTCTTTTTGATGTTATGATTGTTTTCTTTTGAAAAATGCATTTCTGGTAGAAAGGAGCAATGTTGCTGCCATGCTATCCGCTATACCCTAAAATTCGCTACTGCCTAAACAACTGTAGCTTTCTCGTACTCTCTAGCGTCGGCTTCCGCATTAGAAAAAAAATCCAACACAACGTACATGTTTAAATTAGTACATAGAATGCCAAATATGTAACGCGTTGTTATGTACAAGGCTAAGATAATGAAATGTAATTATCATGTAGATGGCGGCTGAATAAAAAGACGAATAAAATAATCTGCAAATTTCAAAGACAACTGATTTATTATTTTAAAGTAATAAAATGGCTTCGGCGATGAAATACTTTCCTACAACACTCTCCTTACTTGCCTCGCTCATCAAGTGCGAATATTTTGATTATCATATAAAGATTAAAGAAATAATAACAGTAAGACTGTTTGTCTGTGGATTGATTATTTAATTATATATAGCAAATGCTATGACTGATCAATAAAGGAAATTACCGGTATAAAGTTTCTATGTATAACGGGTGAAAAATGACACTAGCTGGATTTAAAAATAGAATTCTGATCATATTAAGTGTTCCCCTGTTGAAATAAAGCAGACGCTTGTAAATTTGCAAAATGATACTTTAACTCTGTGACTATGTTAAAAGGGAATTGATGCATAATTGAAGATATGTCATACCATAAATAATTATATCGATAGTATTGAGTAACATACATGAAAACCTACCACGAAAGAATAATATATGGATGTTGTTGACAAGTGTGAGATACATAATATGATATTTACATACCTACTTATAGCAGATAGTAATTTGTTCTAGAATTTCAACATATAATAAATCCATAATAAACCACTTATAACTCTATCAATCTTATTTTTCAAGAAATGATTTGTCTGAGCTGCGTTCTGGGAAAGGTGCATTGCCTTGTTGGTTTCTGTTCTTATTCTTTATAATAATCAGTATGTTAAAATCATACATTTATTAGTTTTCATCGATACTTGAAATGCATGTACCTATTGAAAATATGTCCAATTGTAGCCCAATCCATTTAAATGTACTAATTAACTTAAGATAGTAAAAACATACAGGCACACAATAGTTCCCCGAAATAAATTTTGTCAGGCCAGTTTTGAAAAATGTATTTGATGAATATGAAATATCATAATAAGCAATAATCAATCCTGTGCCAACATATGTTTTTCATGTATGAGCATGTGTTGTTAGATTGCAAGTCAAAAAGATGAGGTTAAACCGATCTGGTTATATCAAATATATTGTTTATAATGACCTCTTACCCGATGTAATGCCTTGCGGTTGCGACAACGTTGACCGATAAAAAAAGTTTGCATCTGTCGTGGGACTTTGTAAAGGACTGATATTGTACATTTAAATGTCTTTTATTCCGGTGTGACTAAGCCTTAAATCTACTTCACTCAGATGATTCAATGTAATATACCATGAATATTGACACCGCAGTCAAAAGGAATGATAAACTAAATAAATACAAGATATGGATATTTTTTATGTATTTATTTATTTATTTTTATCTTTTTTTTTCTTTTGGAAATTCAAAATTATCTTTTATTATACATTTAAGCTACATATGCTGTTATATTCATGAAAGTTTTTGTTTAATGCACAAAATATATTGTTTGTCACGAGGTGTACATAACTCATTATAACATTTTGCATGGTATAGATGTTTTGCACAATTCGTTGTACTAGGACGTTAAGCATCTCCAAAGCCTTTAAAGTAAACCTCTTTTCCGGTGCTAAATCATCGAATGGAGCTGGAGCTGTTAAGACTAGTAATTAAGGTGATTGAATTGCTGAAGAGATGTGCAAGATGAAGAATTCTCAACTGCAATGGCAGATATTTTTTACGTAAAAATTTGACATGGAGTAACAAATTATAATATATCTGTTATTCTTAAATCTTTACCGTTGTTTTGTTTTTTATCGCGAAATTTATATCATAATCATAATATATCGGTTTTGTGTATTACCATGGAAAATAAATATATCTGTCATATATCCCATAATTCAAACGTGCCAGTAAACATGTGACTTATATTTCATAAGTAATAAGCCAGAGCGACAAAGAAAATATGATCAATACAGTCTATTTGCAAATGACACTTTTCATTACATGTGTGCTGTTTTTATTTTTGATGACGTTATGGAACTTTTTTGTATGAATTATTTTACTTTGTTGAACCACACTTAATTGGTTAGCATATGGGAACAATACCACCGATATAAAAGTGTATCTCTGAAATTGTTTTGGCATATGACATCATCAGGGGATTACTTTTCAATCAGATCTCCTCGTTCTAATTACAGTTTTAATAAGATATTTCTTTGAGAGTGGTATAATAAGGAGAAATAAATGCATCCCATTTACACTATTGAAAACCATTGATACTCTAATACGAAATATGTATTTACACTCTATGCAGCACCGTTTTCCAAAAGTCATAGGTCGTATGCAATATGAAAATCTGTGTTCGCTCCAAGTAATAACATGAAGTCATAATAAATTGTGGTGTTCTATCAAGAATTCTCAAAATCAAGAGATGAAAGTTTGAGCTTAGCCCATAATTTAAGTCAATATATGCGAAGTGTAGGTTGAAAGAGGTAATGAAATGTCCAGAATTTATTTAGAGCATGCATTGAGGGATTTAATATAACATGCTTTAGCCGTGTTGCGCATTTCACAGGACTTTTCCAGAATCTTATCAAATTCAAATCGAAACGATGACAATATGATGATTTAAAATCCTCTTGCGATTTCCTGATATTTTAAAATGAATAAAGCTATAAATTTGTTGCAAATAATTTTCAAATTCATTGTTATAGCCAATACCTCCAAAATACATTTTTTATATACATGTATTCCTTCAACTTAAATGAAATACGAATACACCACATTATTGCTAAACGTTTTTATAAGTACATGTATATGTTATGTATTCATGTGTGTTAAACAACTAATGGATTCGTGTTCGAGAATTGATCATTTAAACATGGAGTGGCAAAAATTTAACGTTAAAATATTTGTTTAGATATAGCTTCATACCCTTTAAAAAATAGGTCAGTCAAATCACGAAAAATACGAGGAATTGAAGTGTAGTGGCAAAAAGCTCATTTTACGAGTGTTTCAACCAGTGAATTAAACCTTCTTAGGTAGATTTCTATCATCTGAATAGAAATCAAATGAAAATGAGGACAAAAGTGTTTTTAATTAACACCATGATGTAAACTTCTGGCTTGATGTATTGATATCTCTATCTATTCTGAACAATCACGATCAAAATTACACATTTCTTTTTTAAAGTAGATGCTGCTTCATTTAGTATAGCTTGCAAAATTATCATGTTCAGAAGTGTTTGACTCAGTTTCTGCTAAAACTTTGATGGAAATAAATTGTATTCTTAGATTTAATTAACGCATTTCATAAACTTTTAGTCGGGATTTTCCAATATTCCTACTTGAATAATGTTGAATCACCATTAGGATATGTTGCCTGCTTTTTAACTATGTATTTTGACGTTTAATCTGTTACCGTCCATGGACAGGCTCATTCAACCGAGCCTGAATTTTCAATTTTGTCGTTTTGGGCTTTCTTTAGGGATTATTATTTTTTCTATTTTTTACTTACTTTAGGCCTAATGATTATTGTGATTGGCGAGGTAGGACCAGTAATGTGTCAATGTGCCGTTAAACCCCAACAAACAAACAAAAAAGAATAAGAAAGCACACAAATAAACAAGAATGATCACCATCATAAGCCAATTGTAGGTCAAAGACCAGTATCAAGCTTATACTTCAGAGGAAAAAGCTTGTTCGCTGAAACGTTTTACATGCATTTTAATTCAACTTGACACAAATGTGTAAACAGGACAATTCATGTTTGAAATTATAAAACTGTGCAATTTGAACTGATTTCAGGGGTCGAGTTAATACATTCTCTTATCATTATAGCAACAGTTGATAAATATCCTTTCTAAATAATGTAACATATGTTAAATATCACATTCAAAAATTGAAGATATCATGTTTCCGTCTATAATGTACGAACATAAATAGAATCTGATACTTTTAATGGCATTTACTTTTCGTCCGGAGAATGCTTCAAAAGTACTCAACCTTTTGAAATTATTA